GTGCAGGATTTCAGTTGTAAGTCTTAGGTATTATTCCCTCTAAAAGTTACACAGAAATATCTTGGCTGAAGTAATCTATAACAGCTTCCCACCCAAAATACCAAAGACTCAAGGTATTGACCCCTTAAGCTGTCAGGCAGCTGGTCAGAGTCTGAGTTTGTTAAGAGTCCCTGGGCTGTCACCTCCAGTTACATCTGTGATTCCAGTCCCTTTTAGTTTACCCAGTATATTCTGCTGTACGAATAGGATTTTCTGTGTGCCAACCTGTGAAAAGGTTTGGAAGCACTGATCTATAAGAATGTATCAAGGAAATAACACAGGACCTTAGGGGAAGGGAAGAAAAGTGAATGAGAAGAAATCAGAGAGGGAGACAAACCATGAGAGACTCTTGACTCCAGGAAACAAACTGAGGGTTGTGGAAGGGAGGGGGTGGGGGGAAGGGGTAACTGGGTGATGGGCATTAAGGAGGGCACGAGATCTGATGAGCGCTGGGTGTTATATGCAACTGACGAATCATTGAACACTGCACCAAAAACTTAGTGATGTGTATTATATGTTGGCTAATTGAATTTAAATTAAAAAAATGTATCAAGGAAAACTTTTGCTCATGGCAAATAGATACAGGTCATATCCTTGTTATATTATTTATAATTCTTCATATTTTGACTTTTCAGCATGGCTGCTCGCTGTTTCTGGGATGCTGACACTGACAACTACACTCACGACGTTTTCATGAATGTAAGTCTATTTGGAAGCCTTTTTTTCCTTTCCAAGGACATGTGGACATTCCAAGTCAAATTAATATTATTAAGATATAAGGCCACTTTAATTTTAGATGTCTGTCTTAGACTCCTGGATGAAATGATTTTACTCTTTTACTGTGTTACTAAAGCAGGAGAAATCTAATGTGCTGCTGATAGGCGAGGAGACTTGTAGGTGTACAGATGATATAACTCTTCACAAGTTTGATTTTGAGAATATCGTATTGTTTATTCAGTGCTAACAGACCTGTGGCACTTGGCTAACTCTAACGAAATTGGGTTGGCAGGGGGGCGCCTGGGTGGCTCAGTCCGTTAAGCGTCTGCCTTTGGCTCAGGTCATCATGTCAGGGTCCTGGGATCGAACACTGCATCAGGCTCCCTGCTCAGCAGGGATTCTGCTTCTCCCTCTCCCTCTGCCTTTGCCCCCAACTTGTGCTCTGTCTCTCTCAAATAAAGTCTTAAAAAAAAAAAAAAAAAAGAAATTGGGGTGGCAGGGATTCATGAGCAAAGGTGATTTTCATTCAGTAATAAAATTATTTTATCTTAAAGCTATTTCTCAAAACTAAGCAAAAATAAAGAGAAATTTTTAAAAAGATTTCATTTAAACATTGGTCTGTTATTGGCTGAATGTTTTATATATATATATTTTTTATTCATGAGAGACAGAGCGAGAGAGAAAGGCAGAGGGAGAAACAGGCTTCCAAGGAGCAGGGAGCCCGATGCGGGACTCGATCCCAGGACCCTGAGATCATGACCTGAGCCGAAGGCAGACGCTTAACCATCTGAGCCACCCAGGCGCCCTGTTTTATATATTTTAATCATATGTTGTTATACTTGCTTCCAGAGATGATCCCTTTCTCTATCCAAAAGCTCCTAGGTTGTGAATTAGTAGACTCAGAATTAAAGTATAGTAGAATAGAACAGAAACTTGGTTGAGTTAATTAGGAGAGGGGTTCCATTTCCAGCTCTGTAACTTTCTAATTGAATGACTTCAGGTGTCATTAGACTTTTCTCTGATTGTATCAGTAACATTAGGAAGCTGTACTAGATTTTCCCAAAGAAGGCTGTGGCTGCTGAAAAATAATTTGGGGAACTTATTTAAAATACAGATGCCAAGACCTTACTCAAGTAGATTCTGATCAAATAAGTCTGGTGTTAAATCAGTGATTCTGAATTTTTAAAAAAGTTACCCACATGGTTATGCTTACTGCCAGGTTTGGAAGCTGCTTATGTTAATGATCTTAAGACACCTTTTAGCTCTAAAATTCTGTGGTCCTACCAGTTTCATTTTATGTTCAACTCCCTTAGGGATCAAGGGCTGAAGAGTAGGAAGTACTATGTAAATCCCATTTATCAGCTCTCTAGGGGAAAGGTCAAGCTAAGGTGATGGTTTTTCCTGCTTTTTGGAGTTATTGAGTCCTTATACAATGCAATTCATTCATTCAGCAAATATTCTGAGCTCCCATTAGGTGCCAGCCTCCCCTGGAGGTGCGAGGGATAAAATTTTGATTCAGACAGACATGGAGAGCTCTGGGCGGTGCTGTAGAACAGCCAAAGTGGGATCCACAGACCAGTGCCAGTCCTTGAGCTGTGTGTTTACAAATCCTTCATGAGAGAAGTGCATAAATAGTGTAAGAGTTTAGAAACTCTTACAGGAATTTGACAAAGTTATTTTATATTGATTAAATCTAATAGTAAAAGTTTAGGCTATATTTTGTATGTGTCTTTTTTCATCCCATTTTCCTACTTACCAATTTTTATTGTATTTTACAAAAGTATCAGTCCAAAGGGCCTGGAAAGTAAAACGAAAACAAAAACAAGTTTCTCACTACAGATAGCATTGTTGTGGAACACAGTTCATGGTTCTCCCCCCCAAGCAGGCAGGGACCTGGGCTTAACCAAAGAATTTTGCTTTGGTTAGTAAGCAGGTACTTGAGTTTAGTTTGTTTTCTCCAAGTAGTACCAGGCTGGAGATGAGATTTGTTGGTCTCAAAGGAGTCACTGAGGCAGGTGGAACTCCTGTAATAATTACCTAAAAAGTGTTTTAACAAGTTTAACCAGGATCTGGAAAGCATTTTGTGATTCTGAGTTAAAAGATAGATAAATGAATTTTATCAGTTAAGAACAAACACCCAGAGACCATTTGCCCTTACCCAGAATTTATGACAGGGTGCTGTTATGGTTTTTTTTAGATTTATTTATTTGAGAGAGAGAGAGGGGGAGAATGAGAACGAGAATGCACAGGGGGAGGGGCAGAAGGAGAGAGAGAGAATCTTGGGCAGACTCCCTGCAGAGCGCAGAGCCCAACGTGGGGCTCCATCTCATGATCTTGGGATCATGACCTGAGTCAAAATCCATGCCTAACTGACTAAGCCACCCAGGCACCCCAAGATGCTGTTATTTTTATCTGTGATGTTATAATATAGTTATGCATTTACTCCAAGAAACTCAAAGCATTTCATAATTGTTATTTCTATGATAAATCAGGAAAAATGGAAATACTTATTTTATGAATATGAAATTACATAAAGCTCATTAGTTTGCATTTTACTTCTACCTTCAGAAAATCTAATTCTTTACCCATCCTACCCTTTGAGCAAGCAATTTTGTAGTTACCCTGAAACAAGCAACTCTATAGCTATATTCTGGAAATCCTTTGTATATTGAAGAAGAAAAAAACCTTCATGATTGAAAACTGGCAAAGATCTGAGATGATGTTCATTTCAATTGCCTTTGCTGCCCTTAGCCCTTCATTAGTACTAATAACCTTCTGGATTTGTGTGTGTTTTCTGTTTTGTTTGCTTTTTAGGACAGTTTATTCTGTGTTGTAGCGGCATTCGGCTGTTTCTACTATTGAATCTTTGAAAAATTGGGTAAAAATATGACCATGAAGAAATATACATTTTTTTATATTGTTAAATATCTCAACAAAATAAAGATAATTTGGCATTTTGGCAGCTGAGTCTATTCAGTTTTAGGCCTTATATTTTAGTGTTTTGATTTTGTTGTAATATGTTCTTATTGTATTTGGAAAGTGGGGAAACTTCATATTTCGATTGCTCAAGCATAACCAATTGTAAATATTTGGGTATATTTTCTACCAGTGCTTTTTTATTTTCAGGGTTTTAAAAAAATCATTATACACAATTTTGTACCCTGATTTTTCACTTCTTATAATGTCATGAGCAGTGTTTATGTCATTTTATTTCCATTATGATTTTCATAAGCATAATTTAATAGCTGCACTTACTCCACTACGTAATACCATTGGTTATCGTTGCCATTTCCTTATTAAGGGATTATTTATGATTTTTTCACTATTATAAATAACGCTGAGATGAATTTATTTGTGCATAAAGGTTTCTTGTACATTTCGAATTGTTGTCTTTATCTCTCATCCAGAGTTTCTGCTTAGCTATTGCCGTCCTACACCTTACACAGCTTATTAGGTTAAACGCACATTCATTTTCTCCAGGGTCTGCTGTAGTGTTAGGGACAGTGTCCAAGTTGTGAATGAAATCAGCCATCCCTTAAGACTCTGAGATTATTCTGGTTACTACCCAAGCTCCCACTCTCTTTGTAGTGATGTTCCTCCCCTTGTAGTCCCTGGCGTCTTCCCCAGCTAGCAGCCCTTACTTGAAACACCTTAGTTTCCAGGCCGTTCAAGTAACTATTTGAAATGCAAAAGAGAAAGGGTTACAACTTAAACCCTGTTTCTCCCTGGGGGCTCCTCAGCACAGTCCTAAGTGTATCCACCCACTTTTCTTCTCAGCCACTTTCAAGTCAAGCATGTAGACAAAAAATAGTAATAAATACATTTAAAGTTCTTTTACATTTCCCTCCCGAAACTCCCATTGGGTATTTGCTTGTCTTGCATCTATGGAGTCAAAAGGGACCCCTCCAAAGGTTCACTCTAGCAAAGGAAAACTTTTCTCTCTACCAGATACCCTGCAACATGTGATTTCCCACCAGCTGGCCTCCCTTGAATGCCCTCCTGCTCAGCTAGCCCGCGGTTGATTCCCATCCATCATTCTTCGGTGAGCCAACCTGGGTCAGAAATAACAAAAACGAGGGTTTGGGACCAGCTACAGGTCACCACAGGGCTGGGCTGGCGGACATGAATTCTCCCTACGTGACCAAGTAGGGCAAAGCTGGCGCTGTGGTGAAGCGGCCGCAGGCCGACGGGTCTCCGGCGGAAGGCGTCACGGCCACCTGCCCTGCGCCAGACGCCGGGGACGGGGATGAAAAGGCCGGAGACGACAGGCCCTCCCCGGGGGAGGCTCGCCCGGAGCTGGGGAGTCACCGGCCTAACGCATCTTGACCGACTGCCAGCGAGCGCGCGCGACAGTTCACGGCAGTATCTCCTCACGAGGCGGCGTCTTCACCCCAGAGTCCAGTTCCGCATGGAGATTGGCCCTTAGCCATCTCATCTCTTGCGTCTGGTGTTCTCTGCTCAGGCACGCCATCACTGGGGCCTCTGTGGCGGCGGAACTACTGTGTTAGGGGTCGTGGTTTTCAGGGAAATGCCGTAGTCGGATTGACAAGAGGGCGGGCAGCAGGCGGGACTTCCGGCCTGCTGTTCCGTCAGCTGCCTTTCCCGGGCGTCTCCCCGCAACCTCTTCAACTTCCCTTGTCCGTGACGCGGCACCTGGGAGAAAGCCGACGGGACTGGGGCCCGGGAGCGTGAGCTGCAGGTGAGGATCCTGTGTGTGCATCTCCTTGCGGCTGTCTCAGAGGACACGCCGTGTGGCTAGGACCGCGGGGAGACTGACTGAAGAGTGGGTCAGTGACAGCGAGAGGGGAGTGTGAGGAGGGGTTACGAGGCTGCTGTGAGCCAGAGGCAGTGACAGCGAGGGGACTGTAACCGAGATGTAGCTGCTTGCGAGGAGTGTGCCACCCAGGAGCAGTGAATGCGAAAGGACTCTGACCTTGGAGAGCACGAGGCAGAGACTGCGAGAGGACTATTACCGAGAAAGTATGAGGCAGTGCCTTGGAGGAGACTCGGGGTCGAGACAGTGACTGTGCGGGGACTCTGATCTAAGAGAACATGAAGCAGCGGCCGGCGGGGGGCGGGGGGGGGGAATCTTTGACCAACGAGCAGTACCTCGTCCAGGCTGACCTGGACAACAGTGTGGGCTCAGTGACTGGACATGGTACTGCAGGGTTAGGTTTGGGCACGGGCTGTGGTTGAGCGGTCATGACCGGGCGGAGAAGGTCTTTAGTGTAAAGGACACGGGTCTGGGTGGGACTTACCAGATAGACCCGAGTTTAACTTTATGGACAAACGTCTTGTGGCTGGGAAACTTACCTCAGGACCGAGCTCCAGTGTTTTCATCAGTGAATGGGAAGTTTGGACTAGATTAATGTTTACTAGACCAGGGGGGTTCCATCCTATTATTGGGTTGTGAAATCCATTTAATGGATAGCACCTGAAATTTTTTTTTTTTTTTTCACGGAAGACGATAGAAATTTTCAGTGTGTTCACATAGTAAGGGTAAGTATTGTTTCATGAAACTTGTTTCAGTTATGTATGTATGAGATGATATAAAATGGATTTCATATATCCTAAAATGTGAAATGTAAGTAAAAATGTTCAAACTCAGATTATTTCTGAGTTTTCTTTCAGGTCTAAAATGCCATGATTCTTTGTTTAGGGGACTGTTTAGAAGTAAGTACAAAGACTGGCTCTGTGGCTGGGGAGACAGGCTCCATCAGATTGACTTAACTGGAGAAGTCTTCCCAAATATAATTGAGGTGACTGGTTATGACTGAGGACTGAAACTCAAGATCTCAGTTGGGAGAACCAGAACTTACATATTGAAATAGGGACAGGGATATTTATAGAAGCAGTGAGGATAGAGAGGTTTGTGATAGGAAAAACTGCTAGGAGCCGACATGAGAAAGGGGAAGCTTTGAGGAGGGTAGGAACAGGACTTAGGAAGGGAACTGAAGATACAGAAAACATTCTGCCAAGAATAGAATGGGGGTAGGGAGATACGGCCTTTAGGGTCCTTTTCAGTCTTGATATTTAGTGATTCTGTAAGTACCAAGAATTGCTGGTAAAAAGATATTAGTTGAGAATGGGGTTGATGCAATAATCAGCAGTAAGCAGATGGTGACCATCATGGGGAAGAAAGGAGATGCTAGGAGAGTCAACAGTGGTGACTGGAATACCATATGGGAGAGGCTTTGATGTATTTAGCTATCCAGCTCAGTGATTTATGTACTAGAGGCCAAGACTGGCAAACTGGGAATAATACCATGCTGTGAGTAATTCAGATGATATTTTAGCTGGTGGTTTTATCCCCTACTGATCCCCATTCCTGAGGGCTGTTAGCAGTGCAGATGAAATGAACTAAAGTGAGTTTCACTACCTTCTCTCTACAGACTTTTATAAAAGGTGCTACTGATTGTGCACCCAGTGTTTTTTTAAAAACAATATTTAATAGAAGAAGCTTGAGGTAATTTTAACTTATCTGACACTGTGTTTATCTGATAACCTAATAGTCACCCTCACCTCCTACACACATATACTATGTGATATAGGAAGGGAGTTCAGAAAGATTCTTGAATGGTTAAGTATTGAGTTGTGAACGATAGGGGAGAGTCTTTGTTTAGCTAAAAAATGGCTAATTACACCTTTTTCTAAAACATTAAATGTTTACTTGGCATACACTATACATAACTGAAAGGAGATACTCATGAATTTCTTTCTGTAACGATACAGTTGACCCTTGAGCAACACATGTTTGAGCTGCATGGGTCCACATACATGTGAATTTTTTTTTAATAAATACAATATAATACTGTAAATGTATTTTTTCTTCCCTATGATTCTTTCTTTCTTTCTTTCTCTCTCTCTCTCTCTTTCTTTCTTTCTTTCTTTTTTTAAAGAGAGAAAGGAGGGGGGAAGGGACAGAGGGAGAGGGAGAGAAAGAATCTTAAGCAGCCTCCACACCTAGCTTGGAGCTGAAGCGGGGCTTCATCTTACAACTCTGAGAACATGACCTGAGCCAAAATCAAGAGTCAGATGCTTAATCGACTGAGCCACCCAGGCACCCCCTTATGATTTTCTTTAAAAAAAAAAAAAGATTATATTTATTGATTTATTTGAGAGAGTGAGAGAGCATGAGCAAGAGTGGGGGAGAGGGAGAAAGAGAAGCAGACTCCTTGCTAAGCAGGGAGCCGGACATGGGGCTTGATCTAAGCCACTCAGGCCACCCAGGCCCCTCAGCCCCCTTATGATTTTCTTAATAACATTTTCTTTTCTCTAGCTTCCTTATATTCCTTGTTAGAATATGGTAAATAATATGTATAACATACAAAATATGTTAATAACTATTAATGTTATTGGTAAGGCTTCCAGTCAACAGTAGGCTTGTTTTGAAGGAGTCAAAAGTTATAATCAGATTTTCAACGTGTGTGTGTGTGTGTTGGGGGATGGTGCCCCTAACCTCTGTTTTGTTCAAGGGTCAATTGTATATGTTTCAAGGTAACTGACTTAGAAGAGAAGACATTTAGGCTTGGGGACTGCAGCACTGCCTCTGGGATCCTTTGTATTCATTGAATGAAAGGATTCTTTTTGACCTACCCTGCTTTGCAAATTCCCTTCAAAAACCAGTATAATGCCCTGATTGATAAAAAATGAACTTTATTCCTTTCTAAGCCTATGATTTCTCTTCCCATAAATAGGTGAGGTTTTATTTTTCTTGGGGACCTTCTCTTTGAATATATGGTCCCTTAGGGAGAATAATTTGGTCAGAGCCTTAGGTTCAGAAATCCCAGGTTACTTTATCTGATGTTAACACTAACTCATTCTGTGACTCAGGGAAGAACTGTTTGCTTTCTCTTGTTTAAGCTTTTCTAACTATGGCACAGGTAACTGTTCTGCTTAAACAGTCTTTAATAATCAGAAACATAGGCATACTCACCAAATTTTGTATACAATCTCATGGAGTTTGTAAACCATCTGACCCCACTCATGATTCCCCTGTGGAGCTGTCTGACCTCTAGGTTAGACATGATTCTCCTAGGGAGAAAAGTTTATAACTTTTCCATGTTATAAACGCTGATAAGAATTGATTTATAAAATATTTATAGAAAAAGCAAGCATAATAATTTGCTATTGTTATTAAGGATGGGTAATGACAAAATATCTAGTAATAATTATAATTTTCTTATGCTTTTCTTTTCATGTATTTTCATAACTGATCTGAAGTCAGATCTTTTGGCTCTTCTACTATTAGAGAACTCCCTCTCCTCCCTCTTCTACAATTCAGTCAGTAAATTCAGGAAATATACATTTTTTTTAAAGATTTTATTTATTTATTTGAGAGAGAATGAGATAGAGAGAGAGCATGAGAGGGGGGAGGGTCAGAGGGAGAAGCAGACTCCCTGCTGAGCAAGGAGCCCGATCCGGGACTCGATCCAGGGACTCCAGGATCATGACCTGAGCCGAAGGCAGTTGCTTAACCAACTGAGCCACCCAGGCGCCCCAGGAAATATACATTTTTATGTACTCTATTTTGCAGTATGTGCCAGAGCTCCACTCCAGAAGAAAAAAAAAAGAACTGTTTGTGAATCTCTAACAAATATTTGGTACTATGTTAGGTTTGTTTACATACATTCCCTCATTAATATAAATAATTGAATTGCTTGTATTTTACTCTTTGCAAACCAGATTAGTAGATAGATATATAGCTGGCTTTTTTTGGTTTTTGTTTTGTCTTTTTTTCCCCTTTCTTTTGATAACTCTCTTGTTAAAAGTTATATTAGTTTGAAGCTTTCTATATTTATACTAGAATGACTGCCAGTGAGCCAGGGGAACCCCTGGGTCTGCCAGGCTGTTATATCACACTCACAACTATTTGCAAACCAGTTTTGAAGTGAAGGCTGGTAAAAAATAGTGACATATGGTCTTTGCTCTATGCTAGAGAACAAAATGGATGTGTGGCACCTAACAGAAAATAGGTTTTTTTTTGTTTTTTAGGTAGTTTTTTTTTTTTTTATTTAAAGGGAATTGTCCTAGATGTGATTATCTTTGTTTATTTTTTGGCCATAGAGTAGAAATCTTAATCTTTTTTTGTGCCATGGGCCCCTTTGGCAGTATGGTGAAACCTTGTGGATTCCCTTTTGGAATAATATTATTATACCAAGCAAAGAATTAAATACATAAAACTTAAAAGGAAACTATGTTGAAATAAAGTTATCAAAATGCATTTAGAATGTGTGATATGAGGGACATCTGGGTGGCTCAGTCATTTGAGTGTCTGACTCTTGATCTAAGGGTTGTGAGTTCAAACCCCAAGTTGTGCTCCATGCTCCGTGTGGAGCCTGCTTAAAAAATTACATAAATATAAAATAAAATGTGTAATATAATACTATATATGCTTTTTATTAACATTGTAAATAATGTTTACTGTCAACGGATCTTATAATGATAATGATTTAAAAATGATATGTTTAAACAGTATTTCAAAATATTTATAATAAGTGTAATGTTATCTGAAAATATCTAAGATTTCTATTAGTGATGATCTATTACTATTGTGATTTATGTTCATAATTGAAGGAAATGGTGAATTTGCCAGAGGTTAGTAAAAATGAATATATAATTCTTTTTTGTCCAAATCCCAGAATTCCCTGACTCTGTCATAGACCCTGCCTTAGAGATATAAATTCTATAACCCACTCT